ATTGCTTTATAGGTACATATAAAAAAAAGCTATTAATGCGACTGCAATTACATAAATAACATCCACGTGAAATATTTTGTGAAAGAATGAGAGGACAGACAATAGTGCAGCAGATAAAGACTGTCATTCAGACAGCCTTTGCTCATCTCCAGATTTCCTAAATACCCACAGACCAGTCATTAGGAAGGTGTCAACAAAAGGCAGTATGCAATGCATTCCCTTTTTCATTCACTCGGAAAGCAACAAAAAAATACAAGTTAGTTGTCCTGCATCCCAAACCAGATTCTCAACACATTTTGGTGCTCAGCTTGTACAAATTTCAGTGGGATTTAAGTGCACAAAGCAGGAAGCATTTTCAAGAATCCTGATTTCCATTCCCTCTCTGTAGAACATTTCCAATGTTTTGCACTGTCTGTTTCAACCTCTAAGACTATTAGACTACTTTCATCATTTGAGCATATGCACTGCCTGGCACAGCAAGGCTTTTGCCCCTGCAAATGTTCTGTAAGCATTTTAAAATATGTAACTTTTTAGTAAAAACAGAATACATATTCTTACTATAAACCAAGAACAACTTTGAAATAAAACTTCCCTATGCCTTCAGTTGCAGTAACTCACTAGCTTCAGATAACTACCACCAAATTATTCCCCTGTGTAGTCAGGACAGTTGTAAGAGTTGCCTCAAACATAATTAATAATCATAATCAACAATCTGTTTCCATTATAACCATAATCCTTCAATACTGCATGGAGAAGGGTTCAGAAGCTTTGCAAGCCAAGACATTTTTTTAGTGATTTATACAGTGAAGTAGAATTTCCTTAACTCACCTGCAAAAGCTGAAGCATTTTTGTGATTATAGTTCATTTTCAAAAGTTTCCGTTCATCTAAGGGTTTTTTATTAGAAAAAGAAGCACATTAAAGGGATCCATGTATATGTGCCTGCTACACATATCTTTGACAAGTCTGACAGTGTGCCACTTGGAAGAACAAATTTGATTTTATTTGAAACAGACTGCTAGCTACATGCAACTGTTTTGACTGTAAAATGTGTTGTTTCACTATGAATAGAATATAGGAAAGGAAAATATTGATTACACATGCAGAGTTTTTCCTCTAATAACATTACCACACACATTTGCTTTTATTGTAGAACACAACAGCAGTCTGTTCATTTTCATTAGCAATGCCACATTCTAACAGCTATTAAAATCACTTTTCAGAATCAAAATAGAGCAAACAAATGCATAAATAAATAAATACACAAACTCAACAACCGACGTAAATCCTTCTCATACCGTTATATTCTATTAACTTCCTTAGTCCAAACACACTAAAATAAGAGAGTGGCAAAGATTTTCACATCCCATTACCCACTCCCTGAGTCATGCTGTTCCTTGTTAACAGAAAAGAGCTTCAAACTAATCGAGAACACATATCAGAGAATATTTCATTTGGAATAAAAAGAGAAATAGTTACCAATGTCAAGAAATTGCAACTGCTAACAAGTGTCCACAATTTGCTGACAAAAAGCAGACCAAACAGCAACACAAGTCTGTAAATTAAAAATGAAAGAAAAGGTTCCAACATTGTGCAGAGTTAAGTACCTCTACATTTAAAATAAAATGTGTAGAATGGGAGGAAGAAACTATCAGAAGCAGCAACTAGGGAAGGAAAATTATTACAGTGTACATAAGATACCAGTTAGATGAATAGCATGGCCTTCTTCCATCTTGGAAGGCTGTTATGCTACTAAAAGGCAGCAGTAAAAGATCAGAACACTGTTAATCAGCATGAAAGGAGAAGATCAGCCAAGAACAGCAAAAAATAAATTTATTTTTAATGGCTATTAAAAAAATCACAGGTTTTCTGGCCAAGCAGGGAGTCTGAGATGTCTGGTTACTTCACTTTAGCAGGATACACAAATTGAATTTACCCTTTGGTGCTTACACCAAAGAGGCCACCTTCAGCAGCACCTGAAGTGCACAGAAGCAGAAGCTGGCTTTGCCTGCTCTACTAAAGTTGACTTCAGTCAACAGCTTTGTCTGTGCATACAGTGCAGCAGTAAAACCGCTGAGAAGCTGTGGCATTGAATCAATGTTAAGCCCACAAAGCCTAAATTCCACCTCATTTTAATATATTAAGTAGCATTTCTCACAATATATGGAATTTCCTTCTTAATCCTCGTACAGAAAATACCATGCCTTTAGGTTTCCAGCTGGGGAAGGGCCTTTGGATGTTCTAAGGCAGTAGAAAACACTGGAAACATTAACTGTAGAGACATTTTCTCAGGATGTTATTTCAGCATGTTCCAGACACAGCCTCATGGGAAGGACAAGGAAAATACTTGTTATACCACAAGAAGCTTGAATGAACTTGAGCAACAAAGAATAGGGCCTTGTGGAAAGGTCTGCAAAGGATGAGTTCAGTCTAAAGCAGAGGCCCCTCTATCCAAAAAAACAAATATGCTCTAGACTGGTCTCAGAATCATAGAATCATAAAATATCCTAAGCTGAAAGTGTGAAGGGAGTCAAGCCCAACTCCTGGCTCCACAGGACCACCAAAATTAACCACTATGTCTAAGAGCATTGTCTAAATGCTTCTAGAACTCCATCAGCTCAGGGCCATAATCACTGCACTGAGAATTCCCTTCCAGCATCTGACTACACTCTGGTGAAGAACATTTTCTTAAGACTGTCTATAGGTCAATAGATAAACATCAAGAAAAGCAGTGCATTGATGCTTCAGTGACTGCAGACCTCTCAGAACAATGGTGTACCATCTGAGAAACAGGACACAGTCATCCCTCCAACAGAGCATGAAATGTATTACCTAAATCTTGCCCTTGTAGAGGAAGATGCTGGAGCTCTAACATCCTCTGTTCGGGCCTCTCTCCGAGTGAACCTTCAATCCAGGCTCAGACCCAAACACAATCTCCTAAATGTTTTTGGCAGAAGGGCATTCAAAGAGGCAAGACTTTTAGCTCAAAGCTACTGGGAGTTGTTTACATAGTAAAGAGCACTGTTCTGCATATTGGGACTTTCCTCACTCAATTCCTAGTGCAAAGTGGATCTGTCTTTCACAGGAGATTTTATTTATCTGAAGAAGCAGAAATAAAGGGCTTATTTCAAAGGAACAGTCAGAAAAATAATGAAAATAAAACACGCATTACACCACATGTCAACTATTACTACTATGGAACTTACTGCTGTACATAGGACACTATTCACATGACTCTGCACAGAGCTGATTGTGCCATGCTCTAGGAAAACCAACAACTGAAGAATAAAAGGCTTCTAAACACGATGCTCCTAGTGAATCACGTGTCAACAAACTATCTCACCCTCAAATCATTCAACACGCAATTTCAAATCCAATATGTATTTCCTAATCACAGAACGTCAGGGACTAGAAGTAATGCTATTCATAGATATCTCAAACTGCAAAGAATTCTTTTAATGCTTAACTGTTTTCTGAAATATAAAATAACACTCAGATTGGTATTTATGTTAAAAATGCCCCTAATCTTTTTAATTTAATCTTCTACTATTTGTTAATGTTTCTTTGGCTCCTGTTTAAACAACTGTGGAAAATACACATGAATTTACCTTTCAACAAGATGACTTTTTTTCCCCACCGAATGAAATCCTCCCTCCTAGTCTCAAGTTTTCTTGGAAGGAACTACACTTTTCTTCCATGATTTTGTTTGTTTGTTTGTTTGCTTTAAGTACTGAGATCTTTAAGTTACCTACTATTCCTTAAACAGCAGGGAAAAAGGAAGAAGTATCCCTATAAGCATCTTATGTTTTGGCTATTCAATCTTAAAAAGATTATATAATTCTGTGATCTTCATAAGTAATATATATTTTCACTCACACTAATTGCTGAGACCACTTAGGATTTTAAAAATGAAAGAAAACACTAAGCCCTGAATGCCACAAATTAAGCATTGTCAGAACTGCAAAGTATAGGCCCACAAGTTTGAGTTCAGAAGTTAGAGCTTTAATTTTCAAATTCATGGGTCTTAAATTTAACAGTGCTCTTAAAATGGTTCCATCAAACATTAAAATGAATTACCTTGCCTGCTACCTTAAATTAGCATAAATCACACATAAAACTTTCTCACCTAAAAAAATAAATGTATCTGCACAACATGATAACGTGATGGAGAGTACAATAACAATAGCAGGGTGGCAAAGCCCTAGGCTACAGCAAAAGAGGACAAGCCCAAATAAAGCAGCCATACGTACAGAAATGAAGAAAAATTGCTTACCTCCAGGAGGCTTCAGGTAGGCAGGGATCTCCAGCAAGAAGCTCCTGCCTCCACTACCAACCCTTAAGTGAGGTCTGGGAAGGGGTAGATCTATCTCCACCCCTTCTGGATGCTCAGGTACATTCGTGCACCTGAGCTTCCCTAGGTTGGCCCTGCCTTCCCACCAGGTGCTCAGTCACTGCTTCAAGCCCTGACTTTGCATTTCCACTACACTGTGCCATGTTCAAATCAGAGTAACTTTTCTGACTCAGGCATTTCAATAATTTTTGTTAGATGTAATGAAGCCTACAAAGACCTGCTACTTTTAATATCACTTACATTCACAGAATCAGCAACAGGCCACTTTTCAGATTCAGCTTTGTTTAATTCTCAAAGCTAGTCCTATCCAAGCCACCATATTCAATGTATGAGATTACAGATCTTTGGGAAGTGGTTTTTACCACCTGTTTTCTGAGAATTCATGCAGACCAGGATTTTTAATAGCATCACAAGACCTGTGCTTTTACTCCTGATCACAATCAAAACAGCAAAGAATTTTCAGAAGTGCTCAGGCATCATTCTGCCATATTCAGTTTCAACTCTGTAAACAAGCTGTATCTTGCAGACAAAAGCATGTAAGTCACTGCAAATCAATTCATCTAACTATGGCTTCTATCACCAGAGTCCAGTACATAATAAAAGAAAATAGCTTATCTGAATTGTTAAAGATGACATAATGCAAAATCTTACCACTTTATGTGTGCTCAGGGTCCCCTCATCCATCCTCTGCAGGATGATGGCAAAGATTTCACATCCTTCTTCACTCCGTTGTCACCTGCAATTTTGAAAAGCTATTGTAGGAGAGAACCTCTTTGAATAGAGATAAGTTTAGGAATCCTGATTATGTAAGGTTGTTGAAAAATATTCATCCAATGAGTCAATGAGTGGTGGAGAAGTGACAGAAAAATTAGATATTGTAACTCTTCTCTAGGGTTTTTGGTGTTTTTTGTTTTTTTAGTAGCAAAAAGCTATAAAGGGACTAACAGCACACATAGAAGCGCACACAACCAAGCTGAACCTATAAACTCAAAAAGAAAAAAAACTTGTGGATAATTGGAGACAGGAGAAAATAGGAGCTCTAATCTGCCACCAATGAAATGAAAAAGCATTTTCTCTGCTTTTTCAGTTTTCCATATTTGCCGTCTAAAAACTAGACAAGATTTCAAAGCTTTTACTTCAGGTGAAAAAGGATGGAACATTTTTTAGAAGATGGTACATCCTATGAGAAGAGTCTACAATCTTGCTGTTCTGCTGATGTAAAGACTTTCACTCAAATTGTCCGAATTATTTGACTCAAAAAATTACAGTCAACTTTACAACCCCATTAGTAAAGTGCATAGTCAGGATCGTTTACAGTAGTTCAGAACTGAATCCTCTGTTGTCTCTGGGTATGTCTTCTGCAGTAAGCAATTTCCCAATCTTTTTATTAACTTGAAAGTGTTAGGGTATTTTTCTCTCTATTAATGAGTTTAGCTTTGTTAGATGTGTCTTAAGTTTCAAAAGATTATACCATTTTGAATTACTAAAGCAATAAAATCAAAAAGGTTTTTGTAAATTAAAAAAAATAAATCTTAATGTTTGCCAGAGCTGTATAGTTATAAAGAAGTAGTCAGAAATAGCATAATAACAATAATAATAATAATAAATAGCTGAGGCAGATTATTACCGGGAAATAGGGAAAATTATTTTTCCAACTGCACAATGACTTAATAAAAATATGTATTTTACGCCATGTAAGCTACCATGCCACTGTTTTTACTTGTAAAAACAATCTCCTTTTATCTCTCCAGGCTGTGGAACATCTGGTAAGCAGCTTCCACTCTGCATTCTTTGTTGCCCACTAAAACTTGAAGACTTGAGGAAAACCTATTACCCAACTTGCCCCTAAAAAATAAATATTTTAAGAGATCCACCAGAAAGTTTGATGATAATTCATTTATTTATGGACATGCTATTAACTTTATAGCTCAAGCCAGTTCTGCCTCAAATGTTCTACATGTGATTTTGGGAAACCTGTTTTTCATGGCAGAGAGGAAGGCTAACCCTTCTCAGAAGGAACGCTTTAACATCTTTTGGGACCGCAGCTCTACAGTGCAACTCAATCAAATGCAGTAAGCAGACCTGAAGACTGGATGTCTTGAAAATACTTCCAAAGCTGCTGTCTTCAGAGGGGAGTTTTCTCACAAGTATCTTCTTACTACCTCCTTTTTTTTAACCCTTTCTCACTGGAAAAAAATCAACATCCAAACTCTAAAGCTACTCCTCTCTGGACCCTCAGGACAGTTGTCCTCTTCCCCGTGGCCTTGTAAGTGATGCTTCATTTCTCTCTTCACTGATCATATCTACATGCAACACCAAGAGAACGGGGGTAGGGAGGGCATGCAACCCTTCCTGCAGGTCACATTCACAGGGTCTCCCTTGGAGCTTAGTTTGATATTAATAAGAAATGGAGGCCACTGGAGTGAAAAATATTCCCCAGCCTGTTCTAAGTAACCACAACCAAAGGGGACTTGCAAAGGCCCATACAAGGGTTTTTCTTCTTCCGTAAGCTTTTAGGGCTGGGTCTGGCTCTGCACCAGGGCAAATTTTTAGCAACTGACAAAAACTTAGTCCTGACAAAAACTTGTACAATGGTAGTTGTTCTGTTTGGGAAATATCTGAATTGCTAACCATAGTTTTGCTTTGGGAGCCTGAATAGGGTAGGCCAAGTAATAGCATGGTCCTAAGTATGAAAAGCAATGGAGTTACATAATTTCTAGACAAGGCAAAAGATCACTGAAGTATGAGTCTGAAAAGGTTTGCTTCAAATTAGATTTGAAAACACATGCATAGAAGCTAAGCTGAGCTCTTATGGCTCATATGATTTGTTATACTGGAACTTCCCACCCCAGCTTTGTTTAATATTACCCAGATGTGCAGTACTGCAGAGACCCAGACATAAGGCATGCACATTTACTCTTCCACCCCAGCTCTGCAAACCGACCAACAGGTGGGAGCACTGCAGAGCAATGTATTTTGGTTATACTAAAGGAAGTCTGGGAAAGAGATGGTCTGGGTCAATTGGAAGATTCAAGGCAAAGGAAAGAAATTTTATCTGTTTTAACAAGTAAGTGGTGAGATTTTCTGAAGGGAGTCCATAATGTCAAAGGGAAGGCACAACTCTCTCTTATGATCTCCCTCCATTCCCCTACTCCTGACTTGACTGCCTCTTCCTTCCTAACTTTGAACAGGAGAAATAAGACGATCCTTCTCTCTTCTCATGAAACAAAATTCTCCTTTTTCCTCCTGTCCTGAACTGTGGATGAGAAGAGCAAACAAACCCACAACATCTCTTCTCTGGAGCACACAGGCAGTGTAAGGAGGCACTGCTGGCTTGGGTTTCATTGTTTAACTTTAGGAGTACTTTTTTGTCCTTTGCTTTTAGCCTGTTTCTTTTTAAGAGAACATACTGGATAAAAGTCATTGCTCAAGGCAAAAAAGACACTGGGCTTTGAGTTTCATTTAATGTCTTAGTCTAAGCTGACTTGTGGTATAACTGTAATTGTGCCAGCTATCTGGTTAAGTGTGCAGCTTGCTCCAGTTCTGGGGCTGTTTCTCCTCCAAACAACTTGTAGTTGCACAGAAATGATACAGGTCTTAGCACTCGGAGTAAAGGGGGAAAAATATTATTGATAGGTCAAACGTTTTACTATGTAAAGAGTGGAGTTTATTATTCTGTGAATGTTGTTTTCAAAAAGCTTTCCTTTGCATTATGCCTTCAGAATGGTCCACTGAAATCTATATATGAATTAAAAAAAAAAAAAATCAGCAGAGGTTGCTGGCAGCAGAAAAACATAAGTATCAACAGTTTATCTGTAGCAAACAAGAAAAACATCAGAAAATGGGATGCAGCTAAATAAATGAAATGAAGCATTAGGTTAAATTTAGCATGCAAGCGTCCCACAAACCTAACAAAAGGATTACTAGTCTGCTAGCATAGCTACTGGGAAAACAGCAGGTCCTCAGGCGGGAGAGAGCTCTCCATAGAGAGCCAGGGTGGAGCTGGCTTCTGAGAGGCACTGATCTCCCTTCCCAGATCTCCAGGAGAGCTGTCTGTGAATGCTGATGGTGGTTTTCAGGCATGTCTCTATTTGCAGGCCCCCTAAAACATTATGCTGAAGAGGCAAAGTGCATGATACTGCCTTAAATTTTACTGCCAGCAGAACTGTTTTTCTTTTCAAAGTAGTCTACAGACAGTTGGGAGGTCAGAATGTGCTGCCTTTGGACCCTGTTTGTGGCAGCAAAGGAGGGGAGGAACTGTGCCAAAGCTAAGAAAGCAGGCATCCATCACAAGCAGAAATGTAGTGTATACCAAGCTTTGCAGAAAGTCCTTAGAGAACTTGCTATACCCTTGCACAAGAAGGTTAGATAGACTACTCTAGGAACTGTATCAGATGCTTTTATTCAGGGAATCACCCTCTTAAGAAAAGCAAGAAAATGATAGAGTCTATCAGAGATGCCAGAAAATGCCATACAAGGAGCCTTGTTTTTATAGAACCAGACTTCTTGATGTTTGAGTGTCATGGACAATTCTGTTCTTCAGCTCCTCCTGCAATAGGAGACATCTGATAACCTGTAAGTACATGGAATAACAAAGTACCCAGAAAATACAAGTGTTAAATGGTACATTTGGATTCAATGAACCTCCATGAAAGTTCCCATATTTTAAATGAAAGCAGCAACAGCCCTCTTCAAAGAAGAAGTCTGTCTTCAAATGCCCACAAGTATGGTCTGATGAGGAGAGAAGGTTTTGTGATTTCAGGATCAGACCCTTTGGGAATGAATAAAATAAAAGGTTGTGTTGTGCTGATAATATTCGTCTGTACATTTTGGTCTCCATAATGCTCTGGACAAAAAGTATTTAATTTAATTAGGGATGGAACAAGAAGGCCGTGTTATGGTTTTGGTTTTGAAGAACTACATTAGTCAAGTTATGATTTGCACAACCCAAATCAGGAATGGTTTAAATCTAGGTTCCATTTTTAGCCAAACCACCGAAGTCCAGAGGGGATGGAGAGCCCAGATAAAAGTTTCTGAGTTTAGTCTCATGTCTATAATGGACAAACCGGAGTGGTTTGGGTTTTGAATTTTGCAAAACCTCATCACTCAGGTTTTGGTTTTGCAGAAACAAAAACAAGTTGGGGGTGGTTTGGATGTTGTTTCATTTTATATGAATCATTAAATTCGAGGGAGAGGGTGGGATTGGATAAAAGCTTTATTTATGCCCCGTCTTCAAATGTAACAGCATTTTAGTGATTTATTCTGAGATTTTTCAGGAATCAAAGAAAACCAGCCAAAAAAGTAGATGATAAAGTCAGTTGAAATCTCATTCTTCCCAGCTGCTAAACCATTCTGCAAGGTATTAAGGCAACACAGTTGACAGTGACTTTGCAGAGAATTTGTAAGCCGCTGGGACTGTATGGGTCAGATCCATGACTGGCAGAGCTGTCACCACACTTCCAAAGCTATACCAGTTAAGGATCTTCATGACTGAAGAAAATTTCACTGTTGTAATTAAGCATGTAAGTCTCATTTATGAAGTTAGTCCACTAGGACAGAAGTAATTGGAACCTTGAAAAGTTAGAAATTTTGGAATTCAGATGACATTTGAAACAGAGAATTAGTATTCTCTGAACTGAAAGGTTAACATTGTCCAGGATAAGACTTGTGTTGGGAATAATTAGAATAACAACTGATTCACAGTTGGGAAACAAGAATTCTTCAAGAGCTAGGAGC